GGGGTCGCCCCCTGCCGGCCGCGGCGAGAGCGAGGGTCGGGGTCGCCGCCCGCCGGCCGGGGGGGGGAGCGGGGGGGGTGGGGGCTCCCGGTGAAGGGGAGAGCGAGGGGCGGGGTCGCCCCCTGCCGGCCGCGGGGAGAGTGAGGGGCGGGACGGTCCCTGTGAGGGAGGGGTTGTGGTGGTCAGCTGCCTTTACACCACTTTGGCAAATCAAAACTTTATAAGAAATGCAGCTGCTATCACTGTGGTACTATAACATTGCACAGAGAGTGGTCTCATAATTTATTCCTTCTAGTCTCCTAATCATTTGTAAATTTAGTGGATAGGTTCTGTCTCCAGGACAGGTATTTCTAATCAACCTGTTATTATGTACCTCTGGAGCAGCTGGGACCTGAACCTGTTCCTTTCCTTCCAAAACTAGGTCCTTGTAAGTGTCCAAGTAGTTCTCTGGCATACACTGAGCCACCTCAGAAACCTTCCTAATCCCACAAGCTGACAGAGCTCATTACAAACTAACTTACAAATCACAAAGCTAAGAGTCACCGTCATTGTGTTGAATCTGGGATCAGGAAAGTGAGATCACAGCCTCTTAGTACACTCAGGATTAATGTTATGTTTCTGTTAATGAGACACTGTTGTTTGAGGAGCTGATCATGTCACCAACTTACATGATGTGGAAGCAGTCAGTCTGGATGTTCATGGTCATGTATTCAGATGAAGGCAGTTTGTCTCACCTATACTATCCCCTCCTGATGTTGGTATAAACTATAATGGGGCCTGGGTTATTATTTAACCAGACCTACAGACCACAGCTTAAAGTAAATGTGGTTTATTCGCTCACTGCAGTTGTCTTTAGGTGTGGTGATGAACAGGACAGTGAATGGGATTCCTATCCAGACAACACCCTCTCCAGACAACACCCTCTCCATGAGGTCCTTCCTCTCCAACCTGCTCTCCTCAACAGAACTATTTCCGTATCTTTTATCCTGTAGGGCTGGATGACCTGCCAGGTTAAAGGTATTATACCCAGAAATGTCTTTAAGCTACACTACCTTGGCCTGGTCATTGTGATGAATGGCATTTTTTAAAGTTTAGTCATATTGTAGACTGAGTTCTTATTAACACATGCTTCATATAGATTATAGTACAGTTCATATGGATAGTGCAGCTCGTGTAGCTTCTAGTGTGGTTCTTAAAAATAGCTCATGTGCTATGACAAAGATCAAGTTAACATACGGGAGAAAAGCTGATTTTGGGGGACTGAGAGTAGAACTTGGGGGAAATAATAGAGTAGCAAATTCGGTGAACAACAATGCAAAACATCTTTTACAAAAGTTCAACAGAATGTGCGAGTAAATGTCTTGCGCTTTAAGAAGAGAAAAAACCCGATTCTAATGGTGCTCTGTGCATGAAAGTAGATATAAGGGAGTAAATAAGGCTTCAAAAAGAGGTAAACAGTAAGTACGTAGAGAGCAGACGAATGCAGGATAAGAGATTGAGAGAAGTTTAAAAAAATTCTAGTAGTAAAGAGGAACAACAACATTAAGTTATCAAAGATCAAAAGAACAATAAAACAAAATAGTCAAATGTTTTACATCAATTTAAAAAAAAAAACCGCTGATGGGAGTAGACCCACTAACAACAGGATAATACCACATAATGGTATAGAGATGACATAAATAGCAAATAATTAATTTAAGTCGGGAGGCAGGATAATTTAACATGTCAAATTATGAAAAGAGTAAAAAGTGCATTTAAAATTTAACAACAATGAGGGATGTATTGATTTAACTGATACACTTTGAAGATAAAACCCCTCGTCTGGATGTAATGTACACATTTTGAAAGAATGTATGTATAGATCAGATAGCAAAGACTTTAATACATGTATTGACTATTCATTCAGAAGAGCCAGAAAATTGTTGGTTAGCTTTTATTCAGGAAGGGGGCCAGAATACATTTAGGGAATTATTGACCAGTCCGCTTACTGTCTGTGGGAGGAAAATAATGGAATCTCAGGAGCATGTAGAAAAACACACAAATGAAAAATACAACAGTGAAACTCAGCATGAACTTCTAAAGGGAAAATCTTGATTTGACCAAGCGTGCTGAATTTTTACTTTTGGAGGCAACAGTAGGTGATGGTAATGCAGTAGATGTAATTTATCTGGATTTGCAAGTGGCCTTCAATAAGGAGCTGGGTAATAGACTAATGAATAAGGTTAGAGAGTCTGGAATCAGGGAGTATGGTTTGCTAGACAGAAAGCAGAGAACGGGAGTAAAGGGTTGGTATTGAAAGTGACAGAGGGTAGGGTTACTGCTGTTTTCAATTGGCAATAACAAGTTCTAAATTAATAGATGACATTAAATAAGAAGCAATAGCCAATTTGGTGGAGAACTGCAGCAATTTAGCAAAACATGGTGAACTTCTGGAAGGGTTCTTGTGCAGTGGTAGTGTCTCTACCTCTGAACCAGGAGGGCTGGATTCAAGTCTTACCTGCTCTGGAGTTGGGTCATAACATCTCTGGATGGACGAATCAGAAAATACCTGAACTTGTAGAATGGATAAGTAACTGGCAGATGAACTTCAACACGGTGAAGTGTCAGGTGCTACATTTAGGAAATGAAATGAGGCCACTTAAGACTTGAAAGGTGCAAGTCTCAATGGGTTAGAGGAACAAAGGGATCTGGGAGTATAAATACGCCAGTCTCTAAAAGGTGCTGCACAAGTTAGCAAGGTCAGAAAATTACAAACTAAGCAGTAGGCTTTATCTAAAGGGATGGACTTGATAACAAAGCTGCATTACACCTGCATTAAACCCTGGTCTGACCATACTCTTAGTACTGTTTGCAGGTGTGATCATCTGCATTTGTAAAAAAATGATCAAGAGGAGTTGGAGAGGATACAGGTTGATCCCAGAAATGCTTGGGTGCATACCTCGGGAAAGAAATGACAGGCTTTGTCTCTTCTCTCGTGAGAAAAAGTAAGCTGTCCTGATGAAGGTGTTTGAAATTATGAAAGGTTTTGATAGAGTGGATGTAGAGAAAGCATTTCCACTTAAGACAAAGAGACTAGCTAGAATAACCATTGATGTAAGAGAGTCACCAAGATATCCAGAAGGAGAATCAGGAGAAACTTTCTTACCCAGAGTGGTTAAATATGGGTTTGCTGCCACAAGGAGTGATTGAATGAATAGTTTAAGAGGGAGTTAGTGGAGACTATGAGGGAAAACAGGATGGAGGATTATGATCACGACAGCTCAGTGGGTCTGGCAGCCTCTGTGGAGAGAAATCAAAGTTATCATTTCAGGTCAAGTGACCGTTCCTCAGAACACAGAGGATTGGATGATTATGATGACAGATTTAGATGAAAGATGGAAGGAAACTCTAATGGAACACGAACACTTGCATAGTCTGGTTGGGCCAGATGGCCTGTTTCTGTATATCCTACCTAATTATATATAATGTAACATATTATCTCCTACTGTTACACTGCCGGAGAATAGAACAGGACAGTGGCAGTATCTATCCTGCCAGTGTCTGTAGCCCCTTGTCAGTGTCGGTATCTATTGTACCAGTATCTATACCCCCTCTCTCGCTCTCCCATTGCCTCACCCCTCATTGTGTCCTTTTGGTTCTTGACCCCACAATAATAGCGAAATACATCAGATTGAACCTTTTCCCCCATCCCCTGCGACATGCTTAAATTATAACCTGATTTTTAATTCTCTGCCTGTCCTTTCATAAAGAGATGACTGTAATTGCTGGGCTAAAAACAAGATGGAGCTGGGGGAAGGGGAGTTGAAGGTGGGAGTTGTAATTTAATCTTTTGGGGAGACTAAATATGCTGTCACATCCTACAAAGTGGAAACAGGGATATCGATGTACTGGCTTCCTCCCTAGTCTCAGGACATATTTCCAGTGTACTCCATCTCCATGCTAACTGTGTTCTCCTCATTTCTAGGTAAAAATACAACAGGGTTTATTGGTGAACTCAGCAACATCTCTCAACATTCACACGTTTCAAAGCGGCTCCTTTTTTCTATAGTACACGATAAAGCAGGTAACACATTTTACATGTTCTCTCGGGAGCACAGAGGGGAGGGGGTCATGACACATTGGTCAGTGGAGCAATGGGATCTTCATTGAGGGGAGCAGCACAGGGTAATACCAGACAGACTCTGCTGGGGCATGTTAGGGTATGGGCAACATTAATGCAGTAGGATGCCAGGGTCCCAGTGTGAGGCTAGCAGCTGTTGTGTTGTGTAGTTGTGCTGTACAGACTGGCAGGTCCTGGGGTATCTCACGGTGTAGCTGCCCTTGCTACTGCTCTTCCTTCAGTACCATGACGTCTGTTTGTATTCTATATCAAACAGAACTTTTCCCTCAAAGTGGAGCCTCTGTACCAGCTTATCTGATCTGCAGGCTTCTCACAGAAACCAAGTGTCCAGCTGTATCAGTAGACTCATGAACAATAGCAGTAACACCAAACTCAATAACACTCTCTGTATTTAACTTCCAAGATTAACTAACATGTTCCTGAGATTCCTTCCAGACACCCATATAGTTATGTTTGTGCAACTCGTGCTTTTTATTACACCTCTGAGCTGGTCTATTCTACTCCTGCAGAATTGACTAAGGCCCTGCTTGTGATGGTTTGTCAGGGAAATCTATGATCTTCATTATTATCTCAACTTAAATTATTTCAAATATTTCCCAATTGGGATTATTTATCAAGTTGTGTTGAGGCTGTCAAGATGGCATCTATAACTATGTATTCATTAAAGAGATAATCTCGTAACTAGTGATTGCTTATTAAGTTTGGTCACTTTTAATTGCATTGTTTACAGTGACAGTAATGTGATAGTACATAGTTCATTTAAACTCTTTGCACAACAATATGAGTTACAAATGGAGCTGGCGAACTGATAAAACTTTTTATATCTCCCATCAATAATTGGTGAGCACTCTATAACAGTTGTATATACAGTATTAAGGTTTGCCCAGCCTTCCGTCTGCACCTTTTTTTTTCATCTTACACCAAAAAAAAGCTCTTCAGATGTTTATCCTAGCAACGTGACCTCAAGCCGCAAACCTCTGGTGTCATAAGCAAGCCCATTGTATTTGCCTGTCATCAAGCAGCTATCTGTACTAAATAATTTTCCAGCAGTTGGCTCAGAGCCTTACATACTATGACATTTCATGTACTCTTTAATGTCTTAACGGTGAAACAAAATGTGTGTCATTATCCCCAGCAAAGTATCGTGCTCGTGTGTAACTCCCTGACAAGGAGCAGCAGCAAGTCTCTAACCAACCAGGTCCATATTTTACATAAAGCTGGTGTATCAGCCGTGATAAATTTGGCTTTTTGCTAACAAGTAAACAGGTGTACAGTAGGTATGTTATTCACTTTGTAACCATTTTGATCCAGTTGATGAAATATGCTTGTTTTCTCCCATATTCCAGAGACACTGGAATCAGTATCGCACTTCACTAGATCGGCATGTATTAGAGTTTAAATCCTGACCTCACCATTTCAGTACCATAAATAGGCCGAGCCGATACACAGCAGAACACAGGGTAATATGTAACACGGGTGATAATATAAAACAGTCACTACTTCTTTGCGAATTCCACGGTCTGATTTTAACATTGGGGATTTTTATAGATTGAAATGGTTTACAGAAAAGGACAAATCACTGGCTTAAAATGGCTGCAGCAATCTCCTAACCATGCAAGTTATGTGGAAGAAAGAAAGTTGTCTGAATTAAAACTAACATTTTATGGGACTGGGAGAAAAAGACCCTTGAAACTAGACCACACAGTCGGGCACGGAGAGATTCCTATCTCCTATTTTCGTTTTCACTTATTTGATCAGTTTCACATGTTGAAGATGAAAGAAATCATCGGCAATTGTCAAGCTTGGAAACAATGGACTCAAACATGGAAATACACAAACCAGCTTGTATTTCAAGAAGACGCTTTTTTGCACATCGGGGAGATGGATTTTTGACTGCAGAATTGGAACCAGGGAATTAGAAAACAAAAATTCACTCGGCATCTCAAGAAGGAAACTACGCCGCGATACAACAAAATAAAAAGAAACATAATTCACAGAGAACCCCAAGGACAATGGAAGCCTTCACTACTGCTGATGACCCAAGATACTAGTTAAACAACTGGATTCTGGTTAAAACCTTATCCTTTAATGACACGCTAAGCCGTATATTCCTTGCATCTTCCTTTAGTGTCCTACTGGACACTATCCTTTTTACCTTTTGTACCTGTGTGTGTCTGTGCCAGTTGTTATTATATTATCTTGGGATTAATAGATAATAAAATTACATTCGTGAAGGAGAAAACAGTTAATGTTTCGAGTCTGGTGACCCTTCCTCGGAACCCGAAACGTTAACTCTGTTTTCTCCTCCACAGATGCTGCCAGACCTGCTGAGCTTTTCCAGCAACTTTGTTTTTGTTCCTGATTTACAGCATCCGCAGTTCTTTTGGTTTTTAATAAAATTACATTTTCCTTTACTCAAAAAAAATCTTGTAATTGACTCCTTACTGATGCAATGGATATTGGGTGACTATATTTTTATTAGAGAGAGATGGAGCCTCATGCTTAAAAGAAAATGAATCCACCAGGAATTTGAAAATTGGGGAACTGAAGTACCCCCTCCCCGGTTGTAACAGTGCCTTGAAAAGGTACATTACAGCTGGACACTCTGTGATTCATAAGAAGAAGGCATTGCTATTGTTCCATAAGCTTTATGCACACTTAAAAATTACATCTGCAGCTGGGAAAACCCACGAGATGCTGCTAAATGTGATCTGTGCGGTGCAAAATAGGACTGATTGCCCTGGATGTAGGACAAGTGTCAGATGAAATTCTTTGTAACAGCCTTACACTGACAAATCTAAACAGGCAGAATTTCGACTCACTGCCCTGTAGAAATCACAGTCCAGAGCTATGGGTCAGTACAGGCTGAATTGAGAATGCATTTTCATGTGAGTGTTTTGATTGTGACCAAAATGTTTCTTGAGAAAGGTAGAGATTAAGGATAGTCTTAAAAGAGGATCAGCATTGTGAGAGGTGATGAGGTATATGTAGAGAATTCCAGTGCCTAGGAATTGGATTATTGGTGGTGAGATGATAGACTAAAGGGGCATAGACGTATAGTGAAATGGTAATGCCCTAGAAACCGAGATAGCAGGAACTGCAGATGCTGGAGAATCTGAGATAACAGGAACTGCAGATGCTGGAGAATCTGAGATAACAAGGTGTAGCGCTGGATGAACACAGCAGGCCAAGCAGCATCAGAGGAGCAGGAAGACTGACGTTTCGGGCCTAGACCCTTCATTAGAAAATGATGTGAAGCAGTTTGGTCGTGGCTGTAGACAGTGCTGAAAATGTTGAGGGACGTTGGATACATTTTTTTTGATAGAGTGGTTGTTCAGCGTTACTAGTTTTGGAATTTTCTAGCTAAATAACAGACTTGTCTGGCCGTATATATAATATTTTCAACATTCCAGTATTGATAGCTTGCTGTTTTGTTTTTTTTTGGATGAGACTGGATGATGAGCTGAATGAGAATGTTTGGACTGCTTTTTAAATCACATCCTGTGGGTCCTTGTTTTCCGGTGAGGCTTGTCAAATAAAAGGAGAATAAAACATCTACTTGTAGTTTGCAGGGAGGTGCAGTAAATTGGAGCCAGTCTGAGTGAGCAGTGTCACAGAAACAGTCAATCTCTTTCATCTACTGACCACCTGCTGAGTGATATTAACGGATCACAGATAAGGATCTGTTTTTGGATAATCTGCTGTTAGAGGGTGATATAATAATAATAAAGGATTAACACAGTAGGCAGGACAGTTTGTGTCAGATCGGTTGAACTTAATTTTGCCAAGTAAAATTTGTCAGTAACTCTTTTGAAGTCACATGCTGCGTTGCCGACTGCACTCCAGAGAGGGACTTGGCTGACTGTACTGATTGTAATTTTGAATCAATTCCTGTAAGTATGGGCCGACTTGAGAGCAGACTAACTGCATCTGAAGTTTTTTTTTGTGTTTTTTTTTAAACACCAAGGACTTTGAAGGAATTGTTACACTTTTCAAAAGCAACTTAGCTGGCACTCATTGTTAGTGCTGTGGTACACTGCTGCTTGCTCAAGCAGTAGAGGAATAACTGCAGACTAACAGGAGCCTGGGGATGTGAATAAAGGGCGTTTCGGTCAGTAACAAGTAGCCGATTGGCTCTGTAGACCAATGACAAATCCTTCTGCCTACCAACAACCATGTTATTGGCTCCCAGGTAGCTGAACAGCTTGAGCATGTGAATGGAGACAGTAAGGACTGCAAATGCTGGAAGTTAGTCAATAAATGTGGAGCTGGAAAAGTACAGCAGGTCAGACAGCATCTGAGGAGCGGGAAAATCGATTTTTCAGGTTGGAACCCTTCATCAGGACCTGAAGAAGTGTTCTGCCCCAAAACGTCGACTTTCCTGCTCCTCGGATGCTGTCTGACCTGCTGTGCTTTTCCGGCTCCACATTTATTGACTTGAGCATGTGAATGTTTGGTCGGAAGCCATCAGACCTCCAAGAAGGAAGGAGCTGTCTTTTTATTCTGTATTTAAAAAAAGGCCTCAAGCCTGAAGAAAGCCAGTTGATTTCCCCTGTCAGTTGCTGTAAGTTGTAGCTTTTAAACCAGTAAGTCAGAGACTTCATAAGTGCGAACTAATTGATCTATGCCACCTGCACACTTAGGAAACTGACTGAAGAATGAAGGCCAAGCCAAAAGGATTATTTAGTAAACCCTTTGAACAGAGACCACTGAACTGCCTTCCCATTCTTTCCCTCCGTCCACACCCAAAAAAGAATATGTACGTGTAGAGGGAGTTCTATAAGAGGCTTAGCATTTTAAACAGAATCATATGCAGATGAATCATGATTGTTTACCTGTAGCCAGAATCTATCTATGTGTAATATATAATAATTCTTGCTACGTACAGAAACATGCTCCATGCTTTCTGTTAACTTTGGTCCGAAATTTGGGTAAATTGGTGA